ATCGTTACAGGCATGAAAGGAGGTGGGAGTGACAGGCAGTGAGTACAAGTGTAAGGAGGTAGGATTGACAGACATGAGAGGAGGTAGGAGTGACAGACAATCGTTACAGGCATGAAAGGAGGTGGGAGTGACAGGCAGTACAGGCAAGAGGGGAGGTGAGGCTGACAAACAATCAGTATTGGTGTGATCAGAGTGGGACAACAGAATCTAGCATTATTGGGAGTAATGTAAGAGAAAAAGAGTGGAGGTCGGAATGATTTGAAGGACCTCAATATGCTATTGGAACAAAACTGAGATTCCAAAAATAAAATCATCATGCTCCCAATGAAAGAAGGCTCCATAGCTTCTTTCCCTAACATCAGAGACAACTTGGTATGGGTCACAAGTAACTGAATGATCAAACCTCAGTGTAAGAAATGTTCAAAGTGTATTCTTACTCCTTGCTGTGCAATAACTGTGGATCAAACCTGCAGCAAGGTTAGTTCGATCTATGACATGAGATGACATTTCTGTTTGACAGATTTACTAGATTGTCTTTAGAAGGGGAGCAATGTAGAGTGAGCAGGTCAAAGCATGAAGTTGCCAAAGACCCGCTGATTTATTTTTTCTGAAATTTGCTGCATCCTGGCTGCAATCCAGAGACAAACCTCCCAATTATCGTTCTCAGAAAGGAGCTGGATAGAAATTTGTTTGGGAGAGGATTAAAGGTAGAGGGAAGGAATAGACTGGTGTTGTTCAGGAGGAATTATTAAATAGGTGTAGGTGAGGGTAAAGTTTAGTTTTTTTTGTTAAAACCAAATCTGCAACATTGTGTGCCCATGTGTCAATGAGAGACCACCTCATTAAAACCAAGATGAAACAAAATATAAGTTATCAAGCTAGGTTTCAGTCTGGGATCCATCTTGTTCAGTAATAACATCATGTGGGATCACAATAGTGAGTTATAAGCACAGCAAGCAAAGCAGTATGGTGGCCATCATCCCAAGGGAAGTTGAGTACAGGAATAATGATGCTTTGTTGAAGTTGTGTAGAGCATTGATGAGACCTGATCTAGAGCATTGTGTACAATTTTGGCCTCTTTACCTCAAGAGGGATATACCTGCCTTATGAGGAGAATGGCTGTCTGTATTGCCTAGATGTTAGACAATGTGGGGTGATCTAACTGCAACTTACAATTGGTGATGGCAGGACATGGTGGATGTAGCTGGGATGTTTCCCCTGATGGATGAGTCGATAACCAGGGTCACAATATCAGGATAAACGACAGGTCACTTCAGTCGGAGATGAAGAGGAATTTCTTCACTCAAAGGATGGTGAATCTTTCCGTTCCTCCACCCCAGAGCGCTGTGAAATTCCAATCACTGAACAGGTTCAAAATTTCTAGAGACTTTTGACATCCAGGAATATTGAGATAGTGTAGGAATGTGGATTGAGGAGATGATCAACAATAATATAAACTAAATGATGGCTGAATGGCCTACTCCTGTTCCTATGTAATGTACAGAAGGGAACTCAATGGACCCCATCCAGCTCACATTAGATAAGGAGTGGGCAGGAGCATATAAAATAAAGCTGGTAGCCAGTCTGCCATCTTTCTGCCAATCTCAAACCTGTTACTCCTATTACAGGGCATTGCATCTTCTTACAAACAGAAGGCTTCCTTTAGTGCGGTAAGATTCAATAATCTGTAGCCAAGGAAATTAAATGGGTGGGATAGAGTCCATGGTGAGGCAGCTTGTTTACACACTGTTGAGGGAGATTCAGTGAGAGAGGAAGATTAAACATTGGAAGATTAAATATGTGTTGTTTGATAGTGCACAGTGTATATCGGCAGTGGAAGGAAATGAAATAGGAGTGGCGCAGATATACATGGTCCGGATAAGGAGATATAAATGGATTGCAGAGCTGATGTTCAGTAGAGTGTGAATGGACTGCAGAGTTAAATGGATCTGTCACACCAAATTTACTTTTCACTCTGCTCCCCACTCAATAGAAGTAGCAGAGATGTAGAGAAAATGTAACCAAGTGATTGCTGATGGCCAGGAGCACTGCCCTTCTCCTCATTTCTGTCTCACTTTGTCTCCCAGAACTTGCCCCACCAGCAGCACTGAAGGTGGAAAGATCAGAGGGTAATGAGATTGAAATCTCGTGGCAAGCCCCAGGGATCGACAGTGCACAGGAGCTGATCGATGGCTTTGCAGTAACCTACACATCCTACGATGGAAAAGTGCGCAAGACTGACTTTGTCAACAAAAGCAGATCACGACATCGGCTGAGGCCGCTGTCTCCGGGAAGACTTTACAACATCTCCATTTTCTCGGTCAAGCGCAATGTCAATCAGAATGATATCAGCAAGCCTGCTGTACTTCTTGTGTGGACAAGTAAGTATCTTCGTTCCATGCTGTGCTGACACTTTCCTTCAGTTATCCCTCTTTTCTCCCAACTGGATCTGAACACTGTCACTTTTGCCCATTGGAAACTTCAGATAAATTTACAGATTGCCTTTCCTGCAGCCTGCCCCTTAAAGAGAACAGGTAAAAACCAACAAAGGATGCATTGTTGTTTGCAAGCTCTGTTTGGGTGTCCCAGCATTTTGTAATTGGATTTTGGAGATAATGCCAGCCTCCCAGAGTGGCTAAATTATGACCTCCCATTAAAGTGTGAATTTGCAAAATGTAGTGCCTATTAAGGCCTCAGAATATCTTAATGCACTTGAAAGCGGTGATTTTGAATCCCAATTGTTCTAAAGTAGGGAACTGTCAACCTACTTGTGTACAACAAGGTACTACAAACTATGACATGATAATGACCAGGTAATCTCTTTTAATGATTTTGGTTGCAAGGTGAATATTGCTCAGAACACTGGGGAGATCTTGGAAATAGGATCATTGAACTGCATGTGAGAGGAAAGATTGGAACTCTGTTTAGCATCTCATCCAAAAGCTGTAGTTTTGACAGTGCAGCATTCCCTCTATGCTCAACTTGGACTGTGTGTTCAAATCTCTGGATTGGCACTTGAACTCACAACCTTTTGATTCAGAGGCCAAGAGTAACCAACTGAACGTTGGCCTAGTATATTCCAGCCTGTAAAGTTCCATAACAAAAAAAAAATTGGTTTTAACCAAAACCTATGTTTAATTAACAATTAGACCTTTAAGCCTGAATGATTCACTGAGCATTACATGATCTCCTATTCCTGTCCTTACAAAACAATGTACTATTTGATACACTCTGGCTCATTTTCAAGGAGTTGGACCTGTTGTGAAAAATTTAAAATCCAAGTGAGATCCGGTTGTGGTGCTTCTGTTTCCATATCCGACACATCCCACTTTTGTCGATGGGGGAAGGGGACAGGATGTAAGTCAGACCAGAGGGAAACCTGAACTCAGCTGGGCCATTTCAAATTACTGCTGAGCTTAAACAGGCCACATTTTGACTGTTCTGAGAGCCTTAACCTGAATTGTAAGAGTCACAATTTGCTGGAGCAAATATAAATGTTCACAAAGATTTGACCTGTTTAAATGCCATGATCTGAAGTTTCAGTTCCTGGTTCATTAAATGTAAAACAAAGCCTTAAATTATGAGTTTGAGATTCAAACAAACTCTGCTTGACTGCCTTGATTGGAAGGCCTTTTTTCAAATGTATCTATTCTTGGGATTTTGGGCATCATTAGCTGGTTCCACTGTTAACAGCCCATTCCCAATTACACCTTGGAAGGTGATGGTGACCTTCCTTCTTGACCTGTTGCAATCCTTGGTGTGTAGGTTTCCCCAGAATGCTTTTGGGACGGAGGTTCCAGGATTTTGAAGGAATGGCAATATGGTTCCAAAACAGGGTGACTCGGTGAAACTTGGTTGGGGCTGCCCTTGTCATTCTAGGTCATTGAGAGCCTGTTAAGGGATGGAGCATGGTTGTTACAACTCAGTCAGAGCTCCATGGCAGGTGCTGTCACTGCAGCAGAACCCATAACCCCAATAAGTGAGGTTGCACCCCATTTTGGGAAGACCTGTTCTAGCTGTTACAGATTGTGGGCTTGGAAAGCGCTGACAAAGGATTCTTGATGAGTAGCTGTCATGCATCTTGTAGATGGTACACACTACTGCCTCTATTTGTCAGTGGTGCAGAAAGTAAAGATGGTGGATGTGGTCCCAATCAAGTTGTCTACTTTGTCCTAGATGGTGTCAAGTTTCTTGAGTGTTGGTTGAGCTGCATTCATCCAGGCAAGTGTGGAGTATTCTATCACACCCCTGACTTGTGCCTTGTCGATGGTGGACAGGCTTTGGGGAGTCAGGAGGTGAGTTAATCATCTTCAAATTCCCAGCCTTTGACCTGCTGTTATAGCCACAGTATTTATGTGGCCGGTCTAGTTCAGTTTCTGGTCAACCACGAATGTTACTTTACTTTAATCAACCCAAGCCTGAATGTTGTCCAGATCTTGACTCTTTAGACAGGGGCTGTTCAGTATTTGAGGAGACATGAATAGAGTTGAACATTGTGCAATCGCAGTGAACTGGTTAGCACTGCTGCTCCTCTGCATCAGGGACCCAGGTTCAATTCCAACCTCGGGGAACTGTCTGTGTGGAGTTTGCACATTCTGCCCATGCCTGCATGAGTTTGCTCCAGGTACTGTAGTTTCCTACTACAGTCCAAAGATGTGCAGATTAGGTGTATTGGCTGTGCTAATTTTTTTCCATAATATGCAGAGATGTGTAGTCCAGGTGGATTAGCCATGGTTAATGCAGGGTGACGGGAATAAGGTAGGAGCTGAGTCTGGGTGGGACACTCTTCAGAGAGTCAGTGTGACTCGATGGGCCGAATGGCCTGCTTCCACACTGTAGGGAATTCTATGAATCTAATCTTTTACGATGGAAAGGAGGTAACTGATTAAGCAATTAAAAATTGTTGGGCCAAGCTCGCTACCCTGAGGAGCACCTGTAGAGATGTTTTGGAGCTGAGATAATTGACCTGCGATAACTACAGTCATCTTCCTTTGTACTTGATATGACTTCATCCAGAGAAGTATCCCCTTGGTTTCCATGTTCTCCGGTTTTGCTTGGGCTGCTTGATGTTAAGGGCAGTCATTCTCACATCATTGCTTGAGTTCAACCTTTATGTCCATGTTCGGACCAAATCTGTAATGAGGTCAGGAGCTGAGTGGCCCTGGTGGAACACAAACTGAGATTCAGTGAGCAGATTATTGCTTTGCAAGTGCCGTTTGATAATAATATCAATAACTGCTTCCATCACTTTGCTGATGATCGAGAATGGACCAATGGGGCGGTAATTGGCCGGGTTGAATTTGTTCTGCTTTTTGTGTACAGGACATACCCGGACAATTTAAGGGGAGGTGATGGCCTCGTGGTATTTTCGTTGGACTGTTAATCCAGAGATCCAGGTAATGTTCTGTGGAAAACAAAATAAAAGCCAAAAGAACTGCAGGTGCTGGAAATCAGAAACAAAAACAGAAATTGCTGGGCAAACTTAGCAGTTTTGACAGCAGCTCTGGAGAGAAGTCAGAGTTAATGTTTTGGGAAGGAGGCAAAAGCGAGCTGTCTGGGGTTGAGAGACTATGAGCTTGGAGGAAGTGGGGGAGAGATCACCAGATGCAATGAGATTAGTGACTGTAGTTGACATGATGGCTGATGTTAAAATGTGGGGTCATGGTCCCGGGGGGATAGGAGGAGGTATCTGAGAGCTGGTGATCAGCCTCTGCAAAGTAGAGGTCAGTCCACCAGATGACAACAGCACTGCCTTTGTCAAGAGGCTCAATTACAAAGTGAGGATTGGATCTGAGATCATGGAGTGTAGTCGGTTCGCAGGAAGATAGACTGGAATGGGTGAGAAGGGCAGAGAAATTGAGGTGACCAGTGTCACATCGACAGTTCTTAATGAACAGGTCGAGTGCAGGTAAAATGCCAGAGAGAGGGGTCCAGGTGTAGGGAGAGTGTTGGGGATGGCCAAAGGGGTCTGTGGATGGGGAGAGGACTCTTGTCCAAAGAACTAGGCACAGAGACAAAGACGGCAGAGAAGAGTTCAGCGTCATGTCGTGCACAAAATTCATTCAGATGGGGACGCAGAAGAATAAAACTGAGATTTTTGAATACAGAACATTCAGCATTGGAGAGGTGAAGGTCAGGAGGGATAGTAAATACACAACAGGAGGTGGGGTTGGGAGAAAGAATGGAGCCAGAGGGGAGGGGAGGAGGGGAAGGTTCTGGGGACACATGTTCAAATCCCACCACAGCAGATGGTCGAATTTGATACCAACTTTTTTTAAATCTGGAATTAAGAGTCTAATGATGACCATGAATCCATTGTTGATTGTCAAAAAAAACCATCTGGTTCATTAATGTCCTTTGGGGACATTACCTGGTCTGACCTACATGACAATAACTTAGACAATAAATGCTGACCTAGCCAGCGATGCCCTCACCCTCATCAATGAGTAAAAAAAACCCACATTGTTGGGTAAATACCAGTGTTGGGCCCATAGCCTTTGCAGTATCCAGTGCCTCCCACCATTGGTGGTGTAAATCGAATTGGCTGAAGACTGGTATCTGTGATCTGCAGGAGGCCGACATGGATCGTCCACTCAGCACTTCCAGCTGAAGATAGTCTCAATTGCTTTACTCTTGACATCGGCACTGACACACTGAGCTCCTTCATCGTTGAGGATGAGGAAATTTATAGATCCTCCTCCAGTTAGTTGTTTAATTGTCATCACAGCTGGATGTTGTAGAACACATCTGTTGGTTCTGGGATTGTTTAGCTCCATCAGTTGCATGCTGCTTATACTAGCCATGAAGTAGGCCTGTGTTGTAGGTTCACACCTAATTTCTAGGTATATCAAGTGGAGCTTCTGTCATGCCCTCTTGTACTCTTCATTGAAGCCATGGATTAGAATAAAATTACCATCTCCTTATGCACTATCAGTAGAAATATTTGTTTACATTTCTGAATGGTTGTTATTAAGTCACCATGAATGCTTGACTGAGTTTCAAAATTGTAACAGGTTTCTGAGTTCAGTTTGATTGTTTGCAGAGGCTATTAAAAAATTAGTTGTTTCTGAACAGAAATTTTTTGTGTTTAGTGAGAGATTAACCACAAGTTTTAAAAGCTTTGATTGGGTTTCATGTTTGGAATTTTTCACGATCGAATGTGCATGAGTGGGAGCTGTTTTAGGTTGTTAATGTTTTCTTCATCTTCACATGGCTCCTGACGTACCTCCATGGTGGATACCGGGCCAGTGGCTGTGGAGGCAGCATGAGATATTTAAGGGGGCAATGGAATGGTTGCAATCATGAATTAGCCAGGAAATATGAACAAGAATCAGGAACGAGCCATTCACATTCTCAAACCTTCATCCTAATAAGCTCGTGA